TCCACCTACACACCACCACCATCACTACATGTCAGTGTCTCCATCTACACACCACCACCACCACTACATGTCAGTGTCTCCACCTAAACACCACCATCACTACATGTCAGTGTCTCAACCTACACACCACCACCACCACTACATGTCTGTGTTTCCACCTACACACCACCACCATCACTACATGTCAGTGTCTCCATCTACACACCACCACCACCACCACTACATGTCAGTGTCTCCACCTACACACCATTACCACCAGTACATGTCAGTGTCTACACCTACACACCACCACCACTACATGTCAGTGTCTCCACCTACACACCACCATCATCACTACACGTCTGTGTCTCCACCTACACACCACCACCATCACTACATGTCAGTGTCTCCATCTACACACCACCACCACCACTACATGTCACTGTCTCCACCTACACACCACCACCACCACTACATGTCAGTGTCTCCACCTACACACCATCACCACCAATACAGTCCGTTTGAGTCAGAAACGGACCGATGAATTGCACATTTTATCATTGTACAAAATTGCCACATAAATATAAATAGTACACATGTTTATCATTTACTAATACCCAACAGCTTTCTTATATTTGAAAATTTTCCGGACTCCACCAAAAAAGTTGTTTAACAAACTATCGTTAAAATATTGACACAGTTCACTATTTGTTACGAGAGAGGAGTGCAGAGACAGGGACAGACAGGTGTGCGGGAAAGGATGGAGACGGCACAGCACAGGTTAATGAATCAATAACTTTGTGGGCACTTGTGCACGTGCTTCTCTAACACCTGGATCTCCCTTTCTGCACTCCTCCTCGTAACAAATAGTGAACTGTGTCAAATTTTTATGATAGTTTGTTAAACAACTTTTTAATTTTAGGACATGAATTCTGTAGACAAATCACAGAGATGGTCTGATGTTTTGATTATGATCAGCTTTTCATTGAGTATTATATGTTTATCAGTTTTTTCGAGTTAGATTGCAATTCATCGGTCCGCTTTGAGCCAAACGGACTATACATGTCAGTGTCTACACCTACACACAACCACCACTACATGTCAGTCTCTCCACCTACACACCACCACCACCACCACACTACATGTCAGTGTGTCCCTCCTACACCACCACCACTACTACATGTCAATGTCTGCACTCTACACACCACCACCATCACTACATGTCAGTGTCTCAACCTACACACCACCACCACCACAACCACTACATATCAGAGTCTACACTCACACACAACACCACCACCACTACATGTCAGTTTCTCCACCTACACACCACCACCATCACCACTACATGTCAGTGTCTCCACCAACACACCACCACTATCACTACTACATGTCAGTGTCTCCACCAACACACCACCACCACTACTACATGTCAATGTTCCCACATGTACACACCACCACCACCACCACTACTACATGTCAGTGTGTCCTCCCACACACCACCACCACAACTACATGTTAGTGTCTCCACCTAAACACTACCATCACTACATGTCAGTGTCTCCACCTACACACCACCACCACCACCACTACATGTCAGTGTCTACACCTACACACCACCACCACCACTACATGTCAGTTTCTCCACCTACATACCACCATCACTACATTTCAGAGTCTCCACCTACACACCACCATCACCACTACATGTCAGTTTCTCCACCTACACACCACCACCATCACCATTACATGTCAGCGTCTCCACCTACACACCACCATCACCACTACATGTCAGTGTCTCCACCTACACACCATCACCACCACTACATGTCAGTGTGTCCACCTACACACCACCATCACTACATGGTAGTGTCTCCACCTACACACCACCACCACTGCTACATGTCAGTGTCTCAACCTACACACCACCACCACCACTACATGTCAGTGTTTCCACCTAAACACCACCACCACCACTACATGTCAGTGTGTCCACCTACACACCACCACCACCAGTTGTCAGTGTCTCCACCTACACACCACCACCACCACTACATGTCAGTGTCTCCACCTACACACCACCACCACCAGTTGTCAGTGTCTCCACCTACACAACACCACCACCACTACATGTCAGTGTCCCCACCTACACACCACCACCACCACTACATGTCAGTGTCTCCACCTACACACCACCACCACCACTACATGTCAGTGTCTCCACCTACACACCACCACCACCAGTTGTCAGTGTCTCCACCTACACACCACTACCATTACATGTCAATGTCTCCACCTACACACAACCACTACATGTCAGTGTCTCCACCTACACACCACCACCATTACATGTCAATGTCTCCACCTACACACCACCACCACTACATGTCAGTGTCTCCACCTACACACCACCACCATTACATGTCAATGTCTCCACCTACACATCACCACCATCACTACATGTCAGTGTCTCAACCTACACACCACCACCACTACATGTCAGTGTCTCCACCTACACACCACCACCACTGCTACATGTCAGTGTCTCAACCTACACACCACCAACACCACTACATGTCAATGTATCCACCAACACACCACCACCACCACTACATGTCTGTGTTTCCACCTACACACCACCACCACCACTACATGTCAGTGTCTCCACCTACACACCACCACCACCAGTTGTCAGTGTCTCCACCTACACACCACCACCACTGCTACATGTCAGTGTCTCCACCTACACACCACCACCACTACATGTCAGTGTCCCCACCTACACCACACCACCACCAGTACCAGTCAGTGTCTCCACCAACACACCACCACCACCACTACATGTCAATGTCTCCACCTACACACCACCAGCACCATCACTACATGTCAGTGTGTTCTCCTACACCACCACCACCACTACATGTCAGTGTCTCCACCTAAACACCACCATCACTACATGTCAGTGTCTCAACCTACACACCACCACCACCACTACATGTCTGTGTTTCCACCTACACACCACCACCACCACTACATGTCAATGTCTCCACCTACACACCATTACCACCACTACATGTCAGTGTCTCCACCTACACACCACCACCACCACCACTACATGTCAGTGTCTCCATCTACACACCACCACCACCACTACATGTCAGTGTCTCCACCTACATACCACCACCACCACTACATGTCAGTGTCTCCACCTACACACCACCACCACCACCACTACATGTCAGTGTTCCACCCCACACACCACCACCATCACTACATGTCAGTGTCTCCACCTACACACCACCACCACCACTACATGTCAGTGTCTCCATCTACACACCACCACCACCACTACATGTCAGTGTCTCCACCTACACACCACCACCACCACTACATGTCTGTGTTTCCACCTACACACCACCACCACCACTACATGTCAGTGTCTCCACCTATACACCACCACCACCACTACATGTCAGTGTCTCCACCTACACACCACCACCACCATCACTACATGTCAGTGTCTCCACCTACACACCATTACCACCACTACATGTCAGTGTCTCCACCTACACACCACCACCACCACTACATGTCAGTGTCTCCACCTACACACCATTACCACCACTACATGTCAGTGTCTCCACCTACACACCACCACCACCACTATATGTCTGTGTCTCCACCTACACACCACCACCACCACTACATGTCAGTGTCTCCACCTACACACCATTACCACCACTACATGTCAGTGTCTCCACCTACACACCACCACCATCACTACATGTCAGTGTCTCCACCTACACACCACCACCACCACTACATGTCAGTGTCTCCACCTACACACCATTACCACCACTACATGTCAGTGTCTCCACCTACACACCACCAGCACCACTACATGTCAGTTTCTCCACCTACACACCACCACCACCACTACATGTCAGTGTCTCCACCTACACACCACCACTATCACTACATGTCAATGTATCCATCTACACACCACCACCACTACATGTCAGTGTCTCCACCTACACACCACCACCACCACTACATGTCAGTGTCTACACCTACACACCACCACCATCACCACTACATGTCAGTGTCTCCACCTACACACCACCACCACTACATGTCAGTGTCTCCACCTACACACCACCACCACCACTACATGTCTGTGTTTCCACCTACACACCACCACCACCACTACATGTCAGTGTCTCCACCTACACACCACCACTATCACTACATGTCAATGTATCCATCTACACACCACCACCACTACATGTCAGTGTCTCCACCTACACACCACCACCACTACATGTCAGTGTCTACACCTACACACCATTACCACCACTACATGTCAATGTCTCCACCTACACACCACCACCACCACTACATGTCAGTGTCTCCACCTACACACCACCACCACTACATGTCAGTGTCTCCACCTACACACCACCATCACCACCACATGTCAGTGTCTCTGTTTATACCACCACTAGTAAAGGTTAGTGTCTCCACATACACATAATTGCAAACACTGTATTACGTCCCCGACTGTGTCTCCACCTACACACCACCACCACCACTACATGTCTGTGTCTCCACCTACACACCACCACCACTACATGTCAGTGTCTCCACCTAAACACCACCACCACCACTACATGTCAGTGTCTCCACCTACACACCACCACCACCACTACATGTCTGTGTCTCCACCTACACACCACCACTATCACTACATGTCAGTGTCTCCATCTACACACCACCACCACTACATGTTAGTGTCTCCATCTACACACCACCACCACCACTACATGTCAGTGTCTCCACCTACACACCACCACCACTACAGATCAGTGTCTCCACCTACACACCACCACCACCACTACATGTCAGTGTCTCTGTTTATACCACCCCTAGTACATGTTAGTGTCTCCACATACACATAATGGCACACACTGTATTACGTCGCTGATTGTGTTGTATTAGCTTGACTGTCCCGTCATCATGGTCCCTACTCATTGCAATGCCCTCATTGGTCGATAGATCTGCCTGTGAGGAAGGTCATGTCAAATTAACAGCAGACTCACTTGTTTTGCACACGTTGAAGGTAGGTCTACCACATCCTTGACAATCCGCATTATGTTTGTTTTCTTCACGTTAACTGTGTTCTAAACGGTAACAACACTTTATTTAAACACGTACTGAGAACACGTATTGAGATGCCCGAAATGAAAAGGAAATTGTACAGTGTAAAATGTTAATCCTCCTCTTACACGAGTAAGGTTTACGTTGCATTTAATCAAATTTCTTTATACAAATAACAGGTAGGTGTCGATTGCCACATTGACATCAACACGCGATACGTTCTTCAGCTTCATGCTGTACAGCATTGCACTGGCACTTTCATAGTTACAGACCGCCTCCGTGGTGTAGTGGTTAGAGCGTACGCCCGGAGTGCGGAAGGTCGAGGGTTCGATCCCGGACCGCGTCATATCAAAAGACATTAAGATATGGTACTTGTGGGTCCCTGCGGTTCTCGGCATTAATGGGTACAACAAGGACTGGTCGGCTCGGAGTCAGTATAATGTGTCTGAGTGGGGTATATGAGCGAAATATTCTCAAGCACGACGTTATAGTTAAATTGAAAGATTGACATCCCTTTCAAATACCCATCGTTTATATCATTCGAAATATCCATGACATATTGTCTCGTGATCCGACAACTTCAAACTTGCTTGGCTAGTCGACCATACACTGTTATGACAGCTACATATTGTGTAAATGTTGGTGCGTTACAAGGAAGCTTTGATTTCTGGTACAGTCGTCGTTCTGATGTCATTGCCACAGGTCAACCGTTGAAGTTTCGTTGCGAGGATAAAATGCTGTCTAAAGGAAGACGTGTCGGATTTATATTTGGAATTGGTTGTTCAGCGGTCTTTCTGCTGATCTATTCATCGCTGGTGAGTTGACGATCTTTGTGTTGACGTGTATACAATGCTGTGTATTCTGTTGTGTATGATTTGGGGTTATTTTGTCAAGGGCGTACACAATGTTCAAAGTGGAATGACTAGGGGTGGCTATTGTTCCCAAATGAATGTATAGTTTATATGCAAGAAAACTGAAGTAGTTTCAGTCAAAACATAAACTCAATGACGCTGCAAGTCTGCACGCAAACATCTTGTAGTTTGCGCTGCGCATTTATCAACGGAAGTCAGTTACTTAACTATCGATAGTCACACATACTATCGATGCATCAATAGTTTTTCGTTTCTTCCATCGATTAATTGCTATTGGAGACTCAACAATTTCAGTCCAGTTCGATGCATCGTTACAGCACAAGCAATGACAGTGCATGACTCTCAGGCAGGATACATTGACATGCAAGCGGCAATAGAGAGAGCCCATAAATGTTTTCATTCTTGTTATGTAGTGGAGGCTAATAGTACACTGGTATGTATGGAGTATCCATGAATTTCAACAATGTTTTCAATCTTGTAATGTTTTGGATGCTACTAATTTTGGATGCTACTAACTAGTTACTCAAGAACTAAGCCTGAAACCAAGATATGATCATCACAATGGTGGCCTTCTGGTTTCTTGAGAGGCATTGTGAAGTTAGAGGCAAGAAGCAGCTACCTTATATGCACAAGGACATAGTCTAGAAATGTCTACAATACTTGCGCCCAGTGCCCTGCAGTACTTTCCAGATTTTTCTGTCTAAATTTGGTGTCACGTCACTGTCCCTAATTGGCTCACATGTAACCTTCTAATGTTATTGCCGACCCCAAAAAACTTTTTTTTCATTCCAACACCACAGACTCGAACCTAAAACGTACCGCCTCTTCATATAAAATGTTTATCTTTAAGTCACACACTGCCATAAGTATACAGAACGCGAGAAATTGTAAATATGAATTACAGTATATGAGAATCAAGAACATTATTCAGATAATTTTGTCTTTTTTAGGTTTTGGTTTTGTTTGTTTGTTTGTTTTTTACCCGACCTACCCATGTTCAGAATTTGGTGGCTACGTGAAACATATTAAATCAATGATGCCCTAACACTGCAATGCATTACACCTGGAACATTGTTACACATTAAAAAACTCTGACACATAACTATTGAATACTACTCGGGCTAACCCCGTATGAGTTTACATGTGACGTGAACTCCCCTTATAAACCTTATCTTCTTCTTTTTCTGGAGCATTTATCTGAGATTGTAGTCCACTAATTTTACTCGACATCATTAGAACATCAGCAGCCAAAAGAATTAAACATACTGTAACAGCATCAGGACTCGTGTGTTTGTCACTTTTAAACTTATTTTCCATTTCCTCAGCTAACCGGGGCTGTGGCGTAGCCTAGTGGTTAAAACGTCCATCGTGTCACCAGAGAACCAGGTTCAATTCCGCACATGGGTACAATGTGTGAAGCCCATTTCCGATGGTCCCCGCCGTGATATTGTTGGAATATTACTAACTATGGCATAAAAATACATTCAGCAGTTATGACTAGGCTAACGAGAAATCAACGACAACAAGCCATTTGACGTCCAGACGCTGGTCAACGTGCTCAAGTCATTGCTAATGACTTCAATTGCAGCGTACGAACCTTAGAACGTCTTAGACAGCTATACAACGCCACCAACAGCACTGATGACCGTCCACGTTGTAGTCGACCCTATGTAACAACACGTCGCCAGGACCGTCATATCGTCCATCAACACCTCTCGTTAACCTAACCGTAGCTGCTGTGTTCAGAAAACAAGTAAACGATTGCCATTCAAACCGGCAAGTAATGTATGAATGTATGCATGATGCACGTGCATCTCGATTTCAATGTTGTGTTTGTGCAAGCTCTTCCCTTTCCACAAACAAAAATATTTCAAACCTCAGTCTCAAAAAATACTTTATTGGGCAATACAGGCTATACCACCACGATTTATGTTTTCCTCAAACTTGACATCCGGTGTATATTTTTTTAAAAATAAATTCAAATACTCCATTGATACTTATATGTCATTTCCAATATTACGACGTTTCTTTTACCTTTCAGTATATTATGTTCCTGTCACCAAAACTTGCAAATATTTGTTGTCATGAAAAGCTTTTTCTCTTTCCAGCTATATGGCGTAGAAAGAGTTTGGCTAGCATTTTCCAGAAACGTTTTTATATACAATATACATCAGGATTTTATCCCTGAAGTCGTATGTTTCGTTTCGTATTCCCATTCTGTTTATTGCAGCATCAACACAATGTGCTTAGGGATGTTATTTGTTTGAAAATTGGGGCAGAATATAGAAGACCGGGCGTAGCCCCAACCCACAAAGTCACCCGCTGCGGAGTATATATCTATGGTGGCTGATTAGGGCCATCGCTTTCTCGCCTTAAAATAGTTATCGCTTTCTCGTCTCGTGATATGAATGAATGAATGAATGTCTTTATTTCCTCCAAAAATATATTCGAAGATTACATAAACAAACATTAGTCAGTTACATATATCTACATATGATATGTACAAAGCACGGTTATTTACAACAAGGATAGTTCAGAAAGTATGCATCAAGGAATCCTTTAAAGAATAGATATAGTTCGAAAAATGTAGTATGATGGTTTGCCATGCTGGTTCATGAAGGCCAGGGATGTGAAGTTTCGCACCACAAAACAGTACAAGGGCATCTTCACCATCAAGCATTTCAATTAATACATATAATTCTACGTCCAGTAGGTCAAGTAACGTCATATAAAAGTTATTTCTTTGGCTCATTACAGATTCACAGTGCACAATGATGTGGGCATCGTGGTCATAGCAGTACTTATTACAAAGCATACATTCTTTTGAGAATTTGGCTTTAGAACCGACTAGTACAACAAGTTGTATATGGTCTTTATATTCTGGGTACAGATACATTAGAGTGTAAAGTCTATGGAGACTCAGTGTTTGATGGATTACAGCTTTATCTGGACAATTTCCATTGAGCTTCTTCATAAGAGAAGATACAACTTATAACTATTCTGCGCCAAACTGTCTTTGACGGAAAAAATACCAGTTTGGACGTAGCTTAATACATAGTCCAGTAGATTATACTTCCGTGCTGTACACAACAGAGTGTTGCAAATACTGCGTGAGCTAATATTTAAGTGAACAGTGAGTGCTACAAATGCACATAACAGTGTTTTCGTTGATGAATAACAAGCGTTATTACATAATCTTCCAAGGAATAATAATCTACACTTGTCAATGTACCCAACCATTGCCCAGAGACCTAGGTTGGCACATACAGAATCTGTTGGCATACGTCTGTTGAACCCTTGAATACATTTAGCGAAATATCGTTGGGCATTTCTACTAGATCAATGTTTTTGCCATATAGCGTAGGCATGTTTCACAACCATAGAAACTTGTAGGTAAAACCATTCTTTTCCATATATTAACACATGTTACTGGATGTAAGTCAATACTGTTAAGACCCAATGAGCGCAAAGAATTTATGGTTTGCCTGGCCTTTTGACAGTTAGCGAAAACTATATCTTTACAAGACAGATCTGATGAGAGTAGAATACCACCATATTTTACTGATGGACTTACATTAATAGAGGTGTCGCAAAAGGAGAATGAGAGCTCAGGACAAGATTGTTTCCCTTTCCGTAAAACTACAACAGTGCTTTTCGATGCATTGTATGTTAGGCGCCATTTGGAAGCATATTCTGAAACAATATGAAGTGAATTCTGCAGCCCAGACGGAGTTGTACTTAACAGTGTCGTATCATCGGATAACAGGACTGATGGTACATCAATACCATATACACATATACCATTGTTACGAAGTCTTAATTCAGTTAGTAAATCGTTTATGAAGACAAGGAAGAACCATGCAGACAAGACTGTACCTTGCCCTACACCTTGTTTTACTTCAAATGTGTCTGAGCTATTTCCGTTGTACATTACAAAAGAAGAGCTGCAGGTGTAACTGTGATATAGCAGATTTCACATTTTACCCGTTATACCCAAATTGTGGAGTTTTAAGAATAGACCGCCATGCCAGATGCGATCAAAAACTTTCTCATTATCGAGAAAAGCTGAGAAGACTTGGGAGCCACGCCCAACATAATATGTTACGCAATCATGGCCCTAATCAGCCACCATATATATCACCACACAATAGCATGCTCTCTCGTCACATCGCTGCTGTTTCACGCTCCAGTGTTCTCCTATACAAACAGTTACGCAACATAACAACACATTTGACAGTGGTACACGCTGTACCCTGCACTGTCGAGATTTATTTATTATTATTTTTTAAAGAATGTTTGGTAATGTCTGTAATTTTAAGCTTAGGTGTCTTTTTGAACAGTAATGGCCCGGTGTGTTATAAATGAATGTATATGCATTGGCAAGACTTCCTCCCGTATCCCCCCTAAATTTTAACCATAAAGAAAAAAAAACAACTTTGAGTGGCATTTTCAGAAGTTGGATGTTTCAGTATGTTCAGATACAATTAAAGAAACATGTTAAAATTCATCCTGATTCTGGACGAGGGTATACATATATATATATATATATATATATATATATATATATATATATTATATATATATATATATATATATATATATATTAAGGTGATATGATTTGACAAGAATGAAATATAAGGGGGGATACGGGCGGAAGTCTTTCCCATACATTCGTTACATACATCTGAGGCGTGTTCAGAACCGCGAGTGCCCGCAAACGCTAGGGAGCGCTCGATCCTGAACGCACCCGAACCATCCTCACGGTTTCACTACACTAAATGAGAATCGCTTGCTCGCTGAGCCGGACCGTCTGTAAACAAGTGAAGAGAGACAGAGACATGTGACAGCTGTGATTGGATGAAATAGTGTAAGATGTCTATGTTTATTTAAAGCACATGCAACCAGTAATTAAAACTGACCACAATTTTAAGTATTTAGTGCTG